ACGCTGAACAGCTGTCCTGTTTTGTCATGTCCTGTCCAGTTTTATCCTGTCCTGCCAAACGCACCCTAAACAACAAAATGATTATCTTATTAGATGTGTTATGCATCTCCTACATACCTAACAACATCATCTTCTTTTTCAGGTCCTTACCACAAAATTTGGATGCTTGTAGGCTTGGTTTATTTGTAAGTGGCATCAATGATTTGGTTTTGCATGTTGATGAAAACAACTAGTAGCTACAAAATTTTTGGCATAGGTAAAGAGCAATGCTTGTGACATGCTCAAATGCATGTATAAGAACAACCAAGGCTCATGAATTTTTATATGTTTTGTCCACATGAATTGTACAATGATATAATTTTTAAGTTTCTGTAATTAATATTTGTAAAGTTATATATGCAAGGTGGTTGTTTAAATTATAACACTTAACAAACAGTTATATTTCAACAATAAATCATAAACATGGTTAAAATGGTAATTTTCTAACATTTAGATAGTCCATTCAGAACGTTTACTAAACAATCATTTTTATCATGTATTAAATCATACAGATTATCTTAGTCATTCTGACAATTTAACAAGTTTGGTTCGCAGAATGGAATTCGATGGAATTGGAATTTATCAAAAGAATTTGATTTTAAAGGAATTGGAATGGAATTTGATGGAATTTGACCACCCCTTTTGATTGCGTTTGGTTGGATGGAATTGAAATCTTTTTGTTTGGTTTACGGAATTCAACTTTGGAATTGGAATTAAATATCAACAAATGACCTATTATGATTTTTCTGTCATCTTTCTTTAAAATTAAAATTACCATTCTATATGTTAAATTATTTAAATTAAATATAATTTATTACATAAAATCAACGCAAAATTGTGCAAACTAAATAACCATAAACCAAATTACATTACTAGCATTCGATAAAATCTGAAACTGTTCACTACAAATTACTAAGATATCAAAAAATGTGGGAATGTCGTGTTTTTTCCATTTTTCCGCCTTTTTACGTGCCTATTTCATGCCACAAAAATTAATTAGCAAGATATCAAAAAATAATTACAAATATAGCTTGAAAAATAAAATGGGTACCTTCAGGTAGAGATGGCCAAATGGGCCCGGCCCGGCCCGTAACCGACGGAGGACCGGGACCGGGACCGGAGAGGGACCGGGACCGACCGGGACCGGTAGGGACCGACCGGGACCGGTAGGGACCGGTTGAGGGACCGCCGGTTATGAACCGGTTAGGGTTTTTGACGTTTTTTGGGACCGGG